CTCAAAAAGAAATCAAGACTTGGAGGGGTTTAATAAACTGCTCAAGGTCACATAGCTTAAATAAGAGCTAAGCCAGGAGTACATCCAAGCCCATTCCTGGAGACTGGGATTCAGATGCAGCAGGGAGGCCCAGCTTTGTTGAGCCAGAGGGAGATGGTGAAGGTGAAGTGGCCTGATCCATGGGCCCAATCTACCAGCTGCCCTTATAGGAAGGCACTGTCTGCACTGCCAAGCTTGGCCCATGGTGTTGTTATCAAGAACGCCTGGGTTTGGAGTGAGAGCCCTAGGTTCAAATCCCAGCCCCACTTGTCTGTATGTCCACCCTCTCTGAGCCTCAATGTCTGATATGGGGGAGAGGCATTCATCTCCTGCCTGACGCCTTGTTAGCTTCTCTTTCTCACTTGCTGAGCAACAAAGAATTGCTATTTAATTGCCTGGAGTCAGCCACAGTCACTGGACTTGCAGCCACTATGCCCTAAAGGATGGCAGCCCACAGTGTAATTCTACCTTCAGCTCTAGACCCCCTCCAAGCATAAGCTGGGGGACAAGGGTATTTGTATTTGACAAATATAGCTATGTGTCCCTCCACTCTTTGCAGCAAGCTTAAGCGTGAAGACCACAAACTTTAGATTCAGGGAGATGGGAAATGCAAAGAGGGTGAAATAAGCCATTCCATGAGTTCTGCAAACTATGGGCAGGTGCTATGAGCACGATTTTACCATTAAGCTCAGAATAGGGCTTCATGCAGCTATTTCCAAAGCAGCATTTCTCCTTGCACGTGCAGAATGCATGGGGGGATAGATAGGACAGGGAACCGCAACCCCTGTCTCTTAGAAGTGATTTTTTAATATTACCAAGTGCAGTGCCTAGCTCCTCACAGATATGCAAGGAATGGGAGCTGTGATGGTTCTTAACAAAGGGTGACAAGGTCACTATCTCACCTTGTCACCAGGGTTCCTGCTTAGCATCTGTCACCATGCTCTGAAAGTACCTGTCCACATTGACAGGCAAATAAGCAACTGGGTTTAGGGAGTGGAAGCCCAGCCTAGGCTGCCCATCACCTCCTAAAGACAGTGGCAAGAGCTTGGCCAGGCCATTGGTCACATTTGAAGCTTTCTACAGCTACATTTGACATCCTTTGGTATCTGCTTCTCTTGGCTGCAATAATGGTCTCCCCTCTCCTGTTCTTCCCCATTACAATCTTTGGGATTGGGAAAGAAATGCAGAGCCAAATTCCCTAGCCCTGAACTCTATGAAGAGCTGAGAGCCTTGGAACAGGGTCTGTGTGTAGGCCTGGGGAGGCCCTCTGGGTAGGGCTGGGATTGTACAGACTCAGGAGGATGACCCATAGCTGATGGGTCATCAGCTGGTGGAGCATCCAGTGTCAGGGCATGGCCAATGTATATATTTCCTCCAGTAAACCATAAGCTTCATGAAGGCAGGGCCTTTGCCTATCTCAGTCTCAACTTCATCTGTAGTGCCTGAAACAGTGCCTATGATATGGGGTGGTGGGAGGGTCAATTAGCATTTATTGAATGAATAAATGTTAATCGACTTCTAAACTTAGCTCTGCCATTGGACATCTTTTCCCCCTCTGAGCTTTGTCCTCCATACCTGTAAAATGACCTCTGGGCTTTCTTCTAGTCTGATGGCCTAGAGTTCTTTTAAGACCCAGGCACCCCGTTAAAAATGGCCTCAGGGTATCGAAACAAGAAGGAACATTAGGGTGGCCACTTAATCCATCTGGATTCTTGCCTTCCAATACCCTCACCCTTGAAACAACTTTGGCTATGTTAGCAGGGAAGCCATAGCAGGGCACGGCCATGCAGATGGAGCCTCAGTCTTGGGCATCAGGGAGCAGGGCTCGTGAGCCCAAAGAACAAAAATGCCACCATTAACTGTGGCTGACTGTGTGCCAGGCACTGTGCTAAGTGCTTCATGAGCACTTGACTCCTCACATGGATGCTGGGAGGCTGGTACTAGTTCTAGATCCATTTTACAGATGAGCTGAGGAGAGCCCAAAAGAAGTGAACCTGCTGAGGTGACACAGGGATTGAGTGGCAGATCTGGGGTGGGCATAGCAGAGCCTGGGGACATCCTAGGTGGCAGAAGTGGTAGAAGCGAGGGCTTTGGTGGCACTTACTGTCCTAGGCACTGAGCTAAGCACACTGCCAATGTGCCCCTCAAGGTCCACAGTGGAGTTTCTGGAGTCAGCTTGCAGAGAAGACGATCAAGTTGAGTAAGCACCTTCTGCTGCAGGCTGTGTTGGGCTGGGGCGTTTGAGAGGCAGGGGACAGTTGTCATCTTCTAGGGTGTTAAATTGACTTTTAATGAGCATCGTCAGGATTTCTGTTTACTGCAGAACAATGAGAAAGGCTTTGCTGTTATTATGTGGATTTAACCTTTTTGGATGCATCACTTGCACATCATTGAAGACTAATGACAGGTTTCTTCCTTTACAAAAACCTACTTCATAAAATAAACGCCCTATAAATTTTTAACAGGGAACTCACAAGCTAATTTCATCTTTATTTTTCTTCATAGCATTTCTCGCTCTCTGACAGTCTATTTATTTTCTTGCTTATTGTCTGTCGCCCCAGCTAGGTCATTCTCCACAGAAAAGCAGGTGGCTCTGCTTGCTTATCACTGGATCCTCCGTCTGGGGAACAGTGCCCAGCACTCAGGAGGTGCTCAGCAAATATTGGCTAAGTGAGCAAGACCGCCGGCCCATGAAGAGAAGCTCATGGAAATTCACAGATTCCAGGCCCTAAAATGTTCATGAAGCTCCAGTGCCAGAAAGGCAGTGTGAATCTCCTCCTGACTTCCATAATTGCTTTTGTTTGGGGACCAATCCTGGGGCTTGGGATGTATTTATCTGATCACTACAAAAACAATAATTCCCATTATTAATACATTAAATAACCACCAACTTTTACATAGCATGGGTTATGGACTGACTCATGACCCCTTAAAATTCATATGTTGAAGTCCTAACCTTTAGAACCTCTGAAAGTGACTGCATTTGGAGATAGGGACTTTTAAAAATTGATTAAATTAAAATGAGACGATTAGGATGGGCCCCAATCCAATATGACCAGTGTCATAAGAAGAGAAAATTTGGACACATAGAAGTGCGTGTGCACAGAGGAAAAACCATGTGAGGACACAGTGAGAAGGCAGCCATCAGCCAGCCAAGGAGATAGGTCTCCAACCCTCTCTGATACCTTGATTTCAGACTTCCAGCCTCGAGTACTTGTGAGAGAATAAATTTCTCTTGTTTAAGCCACCCGGGCTGTGGCATTTTGTTGTGGCATCCCTATCAAACTGATACAGCATGCTATCCTCTCCCTTCCCCAAATCTCATTAGATTCTAATAGCTATTATTCCCATTACTGAGATGAGGAAACTAAGGCCAAATGAGGGAAGTGATTTGTCTAAGTCTCCAAGACTCCATGAGCTTCACTGTGGAAACCTTTGGGGGAACTTGGTACATGAGCCAGTGTTTTCTGCCATGCTAACCCCATGCCTGCGTGTTGTTGAGCTTTTGAGTTAGTGCCCTCCTCCTTGCCAGGGCCCCAGACTCCTCTCAGAGATCCGAGCTGCTCCTTCCATGTGTCCCAGCTCTTTTCTGCAAGCTGAGGTCCTTCCTGTAAATGACAGGCTGGTGGTAGATGCTCTTCAAATAGCATTTGCCTGTAAACTTACCAAGTGGGAAAGTGCACCCGTGTCTGCAATGACATTGTTCCACGGACTCACTCCATCAGAGACTCTTCCAGAGAGGGGCTCCGGCGAATTTCTCTCCTGCCCCAACCTCCTCCCCTCCCCACTTCTGCCCACAGCCTCTGCTGAGGATGGTCACAGCTGAGATCTCCCCTTCTTGGAGTGAGATCTTACCAGTCATTATGGGTCGAATTGTGTGCCCCTACTCCAGCTGAAAAAAATATGTGTTAAAGTCCTAACTCTTAGTACCTCAGAAGTGACCTTCTTTGGCAACAGGGTCATTAAAAAAGTAATCAAGTTACAATGAGGTCATTAGGGTGGACCCTAGTCCACTTTGACTGGTGTCCTTATAAAAAGGCGAAATTTGGATATAGAGATAGACACCCACAGAGGGAATAAGATATAAAGAGACTTGGGGAGAAGAGGGCCACCTACAAGCTAAAAAGAGAAGACCTCACAGTCCTTAGAAGAAACTAACCCTTGATACTGGACTTTTACCCTCCAGAACTGTGAGACAATAACTTTCTGTTATTTAAGCTGCCCAGACCGTTATGGCAATCTTTTCTGTTACTGTATGTTACAGCAGCCTGAACAAATGAATATACCAGCAATCCAAACAGGAATTCTCCCCCATTGAGGGGAGCTATGATTGGCTACACCAGAGGGGTACTGGGGATAAAGGCATGTTTGGGGTAGGATTTGGAGTCTGTGCCAGTGGGATTTTAAGTAGAGGCAGCACTTGTTACCTAAATGTGGTCATACATACACTAGTTCTGCCTTTATAAAAAGGGAATAAATTCAAGGTTCTTGCATGTTGATGTGGGCACACATTTGTGGGCACATATACATCAGTGTGTCACATGCACTCAGGGTGTGTGGGCTTATTTATTTGTTCATTGACTCATTCATTCACTCATCAGAGTTTCTTGAATGCTTGCACACACTTATATACATGCAATGTAGATAAGTACACAAACAAGGTGAATAGGATAGAGCTGAGTGTGGGAATCAGGGGGGCATGGAAAAGGAGCACTTATTTCAGTTTGATATATCAGGGAAGACTTCCTGGAGGAGGTAACACTTGAGCTGAAACTGGCTAGGTGAAAAGTAGAAGGAAGTTCATTGCATGTTAACATGTAGGGAGAAAAATAGCAGAATACACCCCAAACCACAAACAGTTCAGGTAGTTCCATTCTTTGGAACCCTTCCGCCCTAGCTTCACTCCTTCAAACCTCCAGAGTCCCAGGTAGCATGGTCATAAAACAGAGAGAAGGCACAAATGCCAAGGAGCCAACACTTTATTTTGTACGGACCAAGCACACAGGGAGCCCCACGCCCCCACGGGATATGCCTCTGCTGAGCCCATCTTGCTTTTTGGGTGGCCTTGCTGGCTGGCTCTGGACTGAGGGCTCCTGGGGAGGCCTGGCCGGTCTCTCTCTCTCCAAATTTTTATGGAGCTGGGAAGTCTTCATGGGAAGCTGCATCTCAGGAGGCTGGAAGCAAATGTAGGTCAGAGCTGATGAATGGGAAGCAGGATTGGTAAGTTTTGATGGGGAGAATGAATGGGGTGAAGGGCCAGGTGGCATTACTGTATAGACTTCACTGAGAGGAATGGCAGAGTATAGGTGGCAGAAAATAACAAGTGGAGGAAAAGCTGGGACAGATTTTTTAAAGGACCAACATTTCCAAATGCCGGGTAGCCTGGAATTTATTGCATCTACTGAGGCCCAGGCTCTGTGCTGGGATCTCTTGTATCCTCATTAAACCCACGTGTTATTTAGTTAGTTGATATAATTATCCCCCTTTTCCAGTTGAGGACATAGATGCCCAGCAAGACTGCATTGCTTGCCCAAGGTCTCATGGCTAGTCACTGGGGAGAATTGAGCTTTGGGGGGCTTGTTTGGTTCCAAAGCCCACCACACATTGTGGGGAGTAGGACTGTGTTATTTAGTTCTAAACTCCAGCACAGAAATCAAGGGTGGAGGAAATTTTTAGGCACGTGCCACATTACTACAGTGAGCATCCTTGGAGAAGAACCCTGCTGGGGGTAGGAAAAGAGACTTGAGTTAAAAAAAAAAAGTCAGAGACAAGATGTTCTGTGACAACTTCTGCTAAGGATTGTTCCCCTTATGAACGTGTGCCCTTTACTTGGCCTTTGAAACTGCTTTCTGTGTTCCCGAGAGCATAATAATGTAAATGAGTATCAGATCTTTACTCGGTAATTGAGAGCAGAGAGAAGGCCATGTTAAGTCAAATTAATTTGCTCTGATGTAGTCCAAGCCCATCTCCATGGAAGGGGCAATGGCTTTTGATGTGCTGAGGGGTGCCTCTTGAAGAAGCGGGTCTTCTGAAGTGGAGGATGGTGCATCTCTCACTTTGGTCAGAGGCCTGGGGGTTGTGGCAAAGTGCACGTTGAACAGCCATGTGCAATTACTCGTCCACCTGAGCCCTGAGCTGCTGCAAGTTCTAAGGTTCAGGAACTGGGATATTTATGAAGACTGTGCATTATCAGGCAGCTCTGATTCCACTTATGAAGATGCCTGGAATGTGTTTCTAGGGAAAAGTATTAGAGATGAAAAGTAGGGATTCTAGAGTTTCAAATCCCTGTTCTGCCTACGTGATTTTGTACAAGTGACGTAACCTCTCTGATCCTCAGTGTATCAACCTGTAAAGTGGAAGTAAATAATACTAACCACCTCTGGAGTTACCAGAGTACTAAACACCTGTCTGATATATATGCCCAAGACATGTAAGCTATTATTAGCAATGAATTCCTCTTCTTACCTTTATCCCAGAGAAGTGCCAGGATTAGTGCTAGGGGTAGGAGGGAGGGCAGACAGAAGCCTTACTTCTACATTGTTGCTCTGTGACCTTTGCATTGCTCCCGCCACCCCCAGCCTTGGGCCTCAGTTTCTCTCTATAAATAATGCAAGAGTTGGACTCCACTATTCTGAAGGCCTCTTCCAATCTGGCCTTTGGTGGATCTGTGATCCCACCATGGATTTCCTGTGTTACGTGGACAGAATGCCATGACAGCTCCTCTAACCCCAGGTGGAATGAGGTTAAAAAAATGACACTAGGGTAGGGAAACTTTACAAGTCTGGCACCTTCTATAGAGGGTCATCCCACAGGACCCTCTTGCTTTCCAATGCATCTGCATTTTAAAGTACAAAGAACTAGGTGGCACTTAGCAGAGGGCTTTTTATAAGCTTTGCATCTAGCAAATTCATCATTTTAGTGAAAACCTCTAAAAACCCTTGTCTCTAGAGAAATCGGTCATGGCATTAAAGGCAGTAGCAGCACCTGGTTTCCTCGAGGCTGCCAGACCTGGGTGGACTCTTGTTTTCATTACCCAACAAAAACGATCCCAGCCTGTTGCTTTTACCTGAGCTAGTTGCTACTTCTGGAGATATTTCTTCATTATGCTCTCGACGTCATCACCCTTCTTCCCTGCCTCTGGCTCTCTGTGCTCGGGGGATGTCCTCTCCCCACCATCACCCTCAAGTCGTGGAATTCTCGGTCGACTCTTGATGCTGTCAGCGCTTTTGAAGGACACAATGGAGCTGGAGGATGAGGATGAGTCAGAGAGGTGAGCAGGGTCCTCCTTGGACTCTGGGCTCTTTTTCAGAATGGTCTTGATCCCCGAGAGAAAGGAACGGTCAGACTCTTCTGTTTCAAAGTGGATGCTTGAATGTTGTGGACCGTGTTGCATATCTTTGGCTGTTCCAGCCAAGGATGTAGGAGCCTCGGGCTTCCGAATGGCTGGGAGGAAGTCATCAAAGTCCACTTTGGTCTTGCGCTTGTAGTTGAGGCTTGGGAGCTTCCAGCTGGACGGGTCACTGTCTAGAGGCTCCTCCACCAGGTGAGTAAACTGGCGGTTCTGGAAGACAAGTGGCTCCTTCCCAAGGTCTGGACAGCTCGCATCGTCCACTGAAGACTCCAGACACCGCCTCCGAGGACGCAGCGTGGGAGATAAGAGTGTGTTCCTGAGTATGGTTGGTGAGCTCAGTTTCTTGCCCGAGCTGGGACCTGATTCTAGGAGGGACTCACAGGAACTGAACTGGATCTTCCGCTTCTCAGGCAGCAGGGTTGTACCCTCAGTGCCATCCGAAGAGATGCATTTCAGGCTGGTGGATCGCAGGAGACCAGCCGATGTCCCAGTGGCTCCCTCCATTTCTAGGGGTGATTTTGCCCCAAACCTCAGCGAGAGGTCTCCCTCATCACTGCCAGCCCTGCCCCTCCTCAGCGTGGAAGCCCCAGTGGTCTGGTAAATGGGAAGAGTGGGCCAGTCCTCCAGGCCCAGAGTGGAGCCCTGGCCCTTCTGGGCTCTCTTCCTCCGGAGTCCTTCCACGAACTCTGAAAGGGCTGCTGAAGGACTGGGCAGCTTTTCCCTGGACACTGGGGATGTATCTGTACTCCGAGAACCCAGAGAAGAAGACAGAGCTCCTAATCTCTCCGTGGGCTTTCTCTGGACACCAAACCCTTCTCCACCCCCCAAATGGGAGTACTTTCGCCAGCAGATGGAGTCTGGAGAAACAGACTTGTCTCCTGAGGTCTTGCTATGGACATCCCGGGCTCTGCTCAGTGCCAACACAGGCTGGGTCCTCTCAGCATCTCCTGCTTCTTTGTTCATCCTATGCCGAGAAGAAAAATGCAGTCAGTAAAAACCATGCAGTTCATACAACCAGTGCAAATGGTGTGAGAACCACCAAGCACAGGCTGTAATATTATTTTTCTTTGAAAATACCATCCCTACTGCACTCTCAAATGAACTATATGATTTAATGTGCAAATTCAAGCCATGTAAATGATTTCTTGTTGCTTCCTGAAATGCAATTTCTGTCTATAATTAAACCCAGCTAAGTACATTTGAGTAGATTAAAACTGCAGGACGGATGAATTAGATTTATGAGGGATCATATCTGACATGATAGGACCTATCATCCAAGATCCTACTGTGAAATAAGTAATTTGCTTCTCCAAGACTGGAAGGGGGCGTGCAGGGGTTATTTGTTTATTTAGGGCCAAGCCCAGAGGACAGTCCCACCAAGCAGGGCTTCTAAGAATCAATGATCCAAATACATGTCTCAATGGGATCTTCTATGACATCCCTGATTGTTTCATGTAGTGAAAGCGTGGGTAAAACCGGTCCCCTAAAAGGGAAGGACTCACATGAAATCAGCTTGAAACCAAGACTACACAGAAGAGGACAGACGGTTTCTATTCTGGGACTACACCAGACTCAGCTTTTATGCAGAGGGAGTTTGCAGCAGCTGAGCGAAAAACACTTTGCCTCTGAAAAGTAGGAGCCTGGCAGTGGGGTGAAATTATAGACTGTAAAATAAAGGGCATCGTTTAAAAGAGAGAGACTGGAGTCCATACACTTTCCCTTTAATAAATAAAATCTTTTTGTCCTCCCTCTAAGAGAAACGACCCCCTTCCTGCCTGCTAGCAAAGTTATAATTTATAAAAATGCCAAAGGGGCAGCAAATGTCAGAGTTTTGGCATTGCAGACAAAGCCTGGACTCGGGCCTGAACAGAGGCTGAAGGCAAAGCCCACGTGGGTTTCTAATCATTAGGCCACGTCTCCAGCTCCTTTGTAGCTCCAACTGTAGCCACTGGGACAGTCGCAGGCTTCAGCCTCTACGCACGAAGGGTGGTTGGGATTCTGGTACCAGACTTCGAGGAAGGATTCTTGCTTCCCAGTTTGATATCATCACCTCCCCTCGTGATCACTTCACATAGGACAGTTTAAGAGGAAAAGAGCTGACCACAATGACCCAGCAGGCTTTTGAATCTGGGAAGGAGTCAAGCCAGAGGCTCCAGAGGTGATGAGAAGGGATGAATAGGGCAGGGAAGCAGGGTCTTTTCCAGTGTAATAGGGGGGACAGCAAGAGACTGAATGTTTGTGTCTCCTGCAAATTCGTATTTTGAAACCCAATCTCTAATGTGATGGAGTTAAGAGGTAGGGCCTTTGGGAAGTGAGTATGTCATAGGGGTAGAACCCTCATGAATGGGATTAGTGCCTTATAAAAGAGACCCCAGAGAGCTTCCTCTCCCTCTCCCACCATGTGAGGACACAGTGAGAAGACGGCTGCCTGTGAACCAGACACCAAATCCTCCAGTATCTTGATCTTGGATTTCCTGGACTCTAGAACTGTGAGTAACTCTTGTTGCATAGAAGCGACCCAGTCTATGATATTTTTGTTATAGCAGTCTGAACAGATGAAGACAGGCACCTAGACTGCCTTCTGGAGCTCTCCAGGCCTGGGAACTGCAGGAGTTCACCATGGCAATGATGGGTCCTGTGGGTTTCATGAGTGACGGGGCTCAGGGCTGGCTGTGCTCATCTGCCTCTCCTCATTCCCTACGTCAGGCAGATGGAAGAGGGTTGGTGTCACTGTCTGGTGTGTGTGAGCCACCTCCTCACCCACACTCCTCACCATCCTCAGTCCTTCTCTTGTATAGTTGGGTTGCCTACTCCCTCCCAAGCTCCCATCTTAGGATGTCGATCTCTCTTGCTCACCGCTCGCTGGTCCCCTGGGAAGGCCCTTCCTGCTTCCAGGCTTTGCACCTGCTGTTCCCTTTACCTGAGGCACCCCTCCTCCTCCGCCAACCCCCAGGTCACAGTGCCGACCTCCCTCATGAGGCAGTTAGCAGAATGAAAGGAAAGCCCTTGATACTGTGACTGGCACCTAATTACTCAAATAATGGCTCATGGTTTTGATGAATAATTAATAACCAATAATTAATAGCAGTCAATCATTAATCACTGACAATTAATAGTAATCATAATTACTAGTACTAATCTCTGCATCTCCAGAGCCTAACCCACCGTTGGATTCAATGAAAGCCTCAAATGAAGTTCAAAGAGGGACGAACAGAAGAATGGATGGCAGGTGACCTTGCATGTCCTCACTTGTAAGAAGGATTGGCCCCCACGTGCTAAAGCAAAGGCCACACATTTGCCCGGAGCAGCTGTCTCCTATCCCGTTTCTTGCCCATTACCTTTGGTCCCCATCACAGCTGCATGAGGGTTGGGAGAGGAGCTGGAGAACTCAATGATCACCAGAAAGTGTGTTTGGCAACATCATTGCTTTGGAATTGCTCCCCTAATACATGGCAAGATGGCATTCACCCTCCTTTATTATTTTCTTCTTCCTTTTTAATAAACACCTTGGAGCTGCCAGGAGCAGTGGGCTGTCACAGAGCTGACAAAAGTCATTTCCATCCTGTCCCGGCCCTGAAAGGAGGTGGGTGTGATGAATGAGTCTTGGGCGCTCTGTCTCATCCACTGCCTGCCACGTGGGGATGGTGGTGTTGAGGGCTCCTATCACCAAATCTCCTGGGACTGTGCCATTCTGCCTACCCCAGCTCCAACCACCACTCCTGACTGCAGATGCCAGGACAGGGCATGAAGACAGAGAGGGAAGAGAAGTCACAGGAAGAGGAGGAGGGGAGGGATTAGTAGCCAAGGACACAGGAAAAAACAGCAGAAGAAGGGGAGGTGGGAGAATCATAGGTCACAAGCCTGAACTGGCAGGATCTGCTGACTCTCATTTCTGTGTTGCCTGTGTTAGCGCCAGGCCCAGAACATAGTAGATGCTCAGTAAACATTGAATTCAATCAAGGTAGATGAGGAAGAGGAAATAGGCAGGATGAGAAAAGTGGACGAAGGGCACAGAGATGTTGGAGGAAGAAGAGGAGGGCTAGAGAGTGGAGGAAGAAGATGCAGAACAAACAAGAAAGGAGTTAAAGTGGGAATGGGTGGGGGAGACAGAGAAGAAGAGGAAAGAGATCAGTGTGGTGCTGGATGTGGGGAAGCAAGAAGGAGACCAAAGGGTGAAGCAAGAGGGAGAGAAGGGAGGGTCCAGAGGCTGCACAGGTTTTGACAAAAAGGTGGGATGGACAGGCCTGGGGACATGGCAAAGCAGCCAGCAGCCCAGAAGTGGGGGTCTGGAGGCCCAGCCTGGAAGTGCTGGTGCCAGGTACAGAGGGCACAGGCTCGCCGGGCCCAAGCCATGAAAGCCCCCAGCTCTACTAGCACAGGGGCATCTGCCTGCCCTCCCCATAGCCCACTAGGAGCCTCAGCCTGGCTGTCATGGGGGAAAAGGGGTTATCTTGGGATTGGGGTGGGCTGAGCCCCACCTTTCTGGAATGGTCTGATGCCTTTGGAGCACCAACTGGAGAGCTTGAAACAGGAACACAAGCCATACAGTGTAGACTCCTAGGGGGCTGGAGAGGAGAGGGGTTGGGTAGCGTGAGGAGGGAGGAGAGATGGGGAAAGGAGCAGAAAAAGGAAAGCAGCAGCCGCTGCTGCTGAGTGCTCCCTCCCGACTCTACCATGCAGAAATCCAACTACACCTCTGCACCGTCTTTTTCTACTTCCTGTCTGCATCACCTCTTGAGGTAAGAAGTTTCTTACATCCACTCCTTTCTGTGTAGAGTCTGCACAATTTAATCTGAATTCAGATGCCCTTCTGCAGGCTTTGGGGTGAGGATCTGCCCATGTTCTGCTGTCTCAGGCTGAATGACCCTCTCCATTCCCGTCCCAGCTTTGGACACTTCAATCAGTTCCTGTCTGTCTTCATCCAGGGCCTGAGGAAGACTCATTTTTTTTTTTCCAGCTGTCCACACAGGACAGCTTGGCTGAGATGGAACTTCCCTTCATCAGCACCTTGTGATGGATGGATGGCAGGTAATCAAGATGTTGCCATGCCTGCCTCCCACAGCCTTGGCCAGGGGGAGGGATAATAGATAGAAAGTCCATTGAGTCGCTGGGAGACAGGTGTGGACAAATGTTAGGTGGGGGCACTGTTATTCTCTAGGGAGAGGCTCCAGAAATGTCATGGGAGCTTCTGCTGCCTACCCCATAGTCTATCCAAAAAGGAATAAACTTCTGGTATACATGCCTCAGTAAGAAGCCAGTGGACATTCCCTGAGCATCCAGCCACAAAGAGGTCACTATTTGGTGGAGGGAATAGTTAATGGTCACCACAACAACCATCCTTGGCTGAGCACCTGCTAGGTTCCAGGAGCTGTGCTGGGTACCAGGGATATGAGAGAGAATAAGCTCATGGTTCTCCTGCCCACATGGCAACCCACTGGGTAGAGATTACGACCTCCAGGCACAGTGAGGCAGGGTGACCTCTGTAAGCACACATGGCCAGGAAGTGGCAGAGGTGGGGCTCCAACCCCAAGTTAGTTGACTCCATCACCAAGAGCATCCTTCTTTGTAATGATACAGGATTAATAGTATTTTCTATATCACCTTGTCTAGATGACTTCTTTGTGGCTTGGGATGTAGTTTGGTTTTGCTACTCACTAGCTATGTGGCCTTGGGATCATTGCCTAACTTTCTAGGCCTCAGTTTCCTCGGCTATAAAATGAGGGAAACGAGGTCAACCTTGCAAAGTTGTGGAGATAAGAGCTCCATGAAAACAGGGACTTTTAACCATTGTTGTCACTGTTACCAGTGCCTAGAACAGTGCCTTAACACATAGTAGGTGCTCAAAAAATATGTATTTAATGAATGAGAGAAGCACCAGGGCCCCTGCTCATAGAAGGTGCTTCATAAACACATGTGAGATGAATGTACTCAGTCCTCTGGCACATAGTAAGTGCTCAGTATGTG